ATGTATGTATGTATGTATTTGTTTATGTATTTATGGATATGCACACATGCATAAGTTCATACTCATGATTCATGATATTCCGTTCCAACAGTCGAATCCTCCAAGCCCGAGGAGGCCAACACGTGGCAGAAGGCACCTGAGCTCGTCTGCTAGACAATGGTGTTCAGAGCTCCCTCTTGAGTGTTCAAGGCCTAGGGTTCACGGTTTGATGGTGTCTGTGGGTGTAGGTTTGTAGGGTTTAGGTTTTAGGGCTTTGGGTCTTTCCGAATTCGGGGCCTGCTGTGAGCTCATGGTAAAGATTGCGATGACATCCACCTATACAGTCAGCGGACAGAGCAACTACACCTCAACATCTCGCAAACAACCTAAAAAGAAGAGCGCCCAGAGAGCCCGAACTCACAATTCCTCTGATCAGCCCTTAGAATGTTGGCTCACCGTTTAGCAGCTGTTTAGCATTCATGAAAGTCCTCAGAGAATTTCTCGCATTCATGAAAGTCCTCCACTCGAGAGTTCTGCTATAGCCGCTCCGGAACCCACCCGCATGCTACAGAATCGGTGTCCTTCCTGCCATATGGGTACTATCAGGGTACTTTAAGGCTACCGTCGAGCTCGCAATTGACACCTTCTGCGCGCTCCCCAACCTGCCCTAGGTCTCGATGGCCTGCGAAGATGGCTCGGTTTCTGCAGCTTATGTCCTTTCAAGACCTGAAACAGCCGTTTTCCCCATAACTTGAACCTCTAAGGGGTCCCGGTACCCTTTTTGGTATTGAAACGGGTTCCTATAAAGATAGTAAGGGCACATGGACCCTCGGAGCGTCAGGCCTTGGACATCCTCCTCTTGCTACTTCGTGCCGCCGAGCCGAGCGTGGCTTCGGCGAACGCTGCAGCCGGTGCCGTGGCGGAGGAGGGAATGTAGTGCTCTATCAGCTTGAAACGTATAGTTGTGAAGCTGATTTCTGTTGATGGGTTTGGGGCCAATGCTTTTGGGATTGGGCGTGGAGCATATGTTTCCTCCATGTCCAGGGTTATGATGTGGGATCATAAATTTTGGCGTGATGATGTGATGCCTTGCTATGGATCTGAAAGTTTAGCAATATTCTCCCCCATCCTCCCCGGAATGTTCCAGTTTAACACAACACCAAACCCCTATTCTATTAGTTGAGTATACCCCGAAGCTCTGAGGCTCTGAGCTAAGCCGAAAGCCTTCATCTAACACCCTGAATCTTCCGAGCCAAAAATCTCTAAACACAAGTCCAACCCTCTGCGCACTAAGACCTAAACCCTAAACCCTATAAAGCCTGAACCCTGAACTGTGACTCTCTGAATCCTGTGGCGAAAGAGGCGTCTGGGGACGTCAGAGTTGGCAGAAGGCGCGCCTGAGTTTGGCTACGGGTTTGCTGGTCTTAAAGGTCTTTTTTGAAGGTTTCTGAAGGTTTAACAGGTCTGTAATGGCTTGTGGTACTAAGGGTTTTTCAAGGGTTCAGGTTTAGGTTTTAATTTGTCTTAGCTGGTGTTTAGAGCAGCATGAAGGGGTTTAGGGTTTACCACTAGAGGCCCCAGCCATTCGATTTCGTTTCCTTTAGGTTCCACAAGAAATCTCTAACGCTTTATCATGTTCAATAAATTGGCCTTCATAGTTAGAATAGGGTTCGGGGAAATACTACTACTGTGGTAGAGTCACTTCGAGGCCTCTATATTGGGCCACAAGCTCTGACTGCTCTCGGGTTGATCAGTTTTGTGGGTTTAGGGCTTTGTTTTATTTGGAGCTTTGGGGGTGTTGGCTTGTTAGGTCTGGTTGAATTATAGCTTCTAATTGACAGCACAGCTTTCAGACGTCTTAGATCTTGGGCGTGGTGCTTCCTGAGCGCCTGAGGATCATCTTCCTTGACATCCTAAACTCTTGAATCCTGACACCCTAAAATAGGGCTTGCGCTTGGGGTTGTTATTGTTATGATGGTGGGCCTAGGTCGGTTGCTAGATTCGACAGTGGAAATGGTCACGACTAATTGCTTCTAGGGTGCCGGGTCGAGATACATGTAAGGCCCCAGCTCCTAAACCCAAATGACAGAGCCCCAAGCCCCAAACCCTATAATTAGAACACCCAGACACATCACCGACACGGAACAAGAACTTCTTCCGTGGCAAAGCCTGGACTGACTTATTTCTCGATAGTGTTCGAGGCGCTCTTATTGGCAGACCTGCAAAACCATGGCCCCGAGGACTCTGAACCCCTTCAATTCAATGTTTCTTTATGATGATGCAATGATGCGTCCTTACCCTAAGCCCTAAATCCTAAACCCTAAACCGTGTACAAAGGCAGGTTGGGTTGTCTAAGATAGGCCCCGGCGATTGCGAAGGCTTTTGGAGTGCTGTCGCCGGATGCCCTCGGAGAAGCATTACAGTACGATGCCACTCGGCTTTAAGAGCTGTCCTGCTCAAGTTAAAAGAGAGTTTAGGGTTCAGGGTTTCGGGTTCGGGGATCTTTGGCAAAACGATGAGATCAATCCAAGAAGCACATCCCTCAAGGTCCTTTTTTGACGAAGTACCCCGTAGTAGTATACGGTCCCAAATTAAAAAATCTACCTTTCAGATCCTTCCGGGAGTTCTGGGTGCGTCACGGGCCGCAGAGGTGATCACCTACAACGTCATCACCTCGGCGGCTGCGAGACAAGGCAGACTTCGAAAGAAAAAGCCCTGTAGAGTTGAGGGTTGGGGGTTTGGGTTGAATTTAGGGTTTGGGGTTTAGGGCTAGGGTGTCGGGTTTAGGGTATAGGCTCCAGGGTTTAGGCTTAGGGTTGGGGTTCCTTATTCTGATTACTGTATTTTATTTGGGTGTTCGAACCCACCGAACTCAGCAATGATTCAACGGCCGAAACAAGCCTTCACCAACAGATAAAATCGATCCGAATGTAAACCCCGAAAAAGTAAACCGAAATAAAAAGTAGGCAGACTCAAGCTAAAAGTACACGGGTAGCGCAGAATAGAAAAAAGTACACGTTCGCAGTTACTGGGAGTCCTTAAGGAGGTAGGCTAGTCCCTGAACCCTAAACCCCAATACCCTTCAGTGTAGTCCCGCGGCTGAAGCCCCGGTCAATCCAAGACGAGACCCTTGTAGGGTGTGGGTTATTGGGGTTTAGCGTTTAGGGTTTAGGGGCTCTAGACAGTTACAGCAGAACCCCCTTGGCGACCCCTATTAAACGGCCATGTAATCCTCAAACAAACCCCTAAACCCGAGACCTAAACCCGAGACCCTAAACCCTGAAGCTTAGATTGTAATCCTGAAAGAACCCCTTGTAAAGAGGATGCTGGGCCGAAGCAGCTGTCTGCATGCCCGAAATGCGGCGGAGGCAGCGGTTTCGGATTTGTTTGGAGGACGTCTTGTGTTGTGTTCGGGATTTCGGGACTGAGCTAGGACGTTAGTACCCTAACTTTCTTTCTTATTCTAGGGTACCGCTGGGTTTGGGGCTTTACGGGTCTGCGGATCTAGGATACCTTAACCCCTCCACTCCCCTTCCTTCCCCTTCTCTCCCCATGGTATACTTGAGAATGCGTGGTGCGGCATTTTGTAGGTGCCGACAAAATCCTGCAACATGTTTTAACAAATGCGAGACGCAAACCCTCATGGACCCTGTCAGCACTCAGCCGCTTGTGTCGCTGCTCAAGAGAAGCTCTTCAGCCTAGCATCGCCGCTTCTAGTATCCCTAACAGAGCGTGTCGCTCTTGACTCTTAAGACTTTCTGAGGCATTACGTACGACTTTGGGCTTATAGGGTTTACTTGCAGGAAGTCCGATTCGGGATCCTGGTTATGAGCGCTGCCGTACTCTTTGGCCCCAAGCCCTAAGCACTCAGCCATCTGCGGAGGCTTATTCAACCTGACATCATCTCCTTGAATGCCCAGGTGGCATTGGGCTGTTAACAGTAAGCGGCGTCAGAGGAAACGAGCTTTGCTGCAGATACGCAATATCCTGCATGAGGTGAGACTCGCGTTTTCGTTTCGATTGCATCAATATGACTGTACGACATTGAGGAAAAAACGTCGCCGCAGTCTTCGACAGGTCGACGCTTGCGCCAAGGGCACCGCGTGGTCGTCGGCACCTCAATGTACAGAGCAGGATACTGCAAGAGTCGACTTCTTGTTTTGGCTTTAGGGTCGGAGTTGTCGTAGAAGAGCATACGTGGTGGGAAAGGATACCGTCAATTCGAGCGTGAGTTAGTTGCATGCACCTCCATTCAACAGAGCTCCGAACCATGAGATTCGAAGGCTTCAGGCCTTCAAGTTTATAATAGAAGTCTGAAAATTGTGAATCTTATTGCAGGTTTCTTGTTCTAGCTATGCTACTGTAGACGATACTGTACTATACTCTACTTTACTCTACTCTGCTCCACCGTGCTGTCAATCTGTTTTGAACCCCGCTGAAGCCCGTTGTGAAGCCTGTATATAACCCTGACCAAGCCCGTATGGAAACATTTGTCGAGCCTGTGCGTAATTCCGTATGAGACGAAAGCATTATGGATGGTTTAGGATTTAGGGTTCTGGTGGCCTGTTCGGTGGGCTGGCTTTGCCCCATCTTCGCGATCGGAAGCAACGACGAACCCTGTGATCCCAGTCCCTCTTTGGCACATAGGCAGCTAGGACTTCAGGGCCTCAACTGTTTAGGGCTTCCTTAGGGCTCTTATCGCAGGGTCAAACAAGTTAACTGTGTTCAGGGGTTGTAGGTGCCATGGCCTCATCCTCTTATGTAAGCCATGCTCCGCTGATAAGGAGTAGAGCAGGGATCTTAAGATACCGCCCTTTCAGATATGGGGTTTTCTCGGGGATTGAAATACATCCTAATATCTCTCTCTCTCTCTCTTTCCCTCCCTCCCTCCCT